CGTCCGTCCGTCTGTGCACACGATAACTCTAGTAAAAATTGAGATATCTTAACGAAACTTGGTACGTGAACTTCTTCTGGGCGTAGGACGGATGGTATTGAAAATGGGCGAAATCGGACAATAACCACGCCTACCTCCCATATAACGGTAATTTTAAGAAATACGAAAACTGCGATATTTTAGTAACTACTGAAGATAATTCACTCAAAATTGATACTTACAATGAGTTTCAGACGGAAAAAATTAATTTTATAAATTTTTGGAAAATGGGCGTAGCCACGCCCACTTATGGTTACATGTGTATATCTTGGTAACCGCTATACCAATTTCTTCCAAACTTGGCACAATATTTCGAAATTTAAGGACGCTAATTTACTTAAAATGTATACACCCCGGCTTATCATGTAGCGGTAGCTTTCGGAAAGGTGGAAAACATATATTTAATACTTGCGCCGGGTATTTAATGTTCGGTTCCGCCCGAACTTAGACTTTCTTACTTGTTAGAATGTAGTTTCACTTCAAAATTTTTGACATAAACCGTGTCTGTGCCAAACACGCAATGTGGCCACTGCTATGATATAGAACTTGGGGATTTTCGCTTGTTATTTTAGATATTTTTTAACAGAACGTGTAAAGATTTATATATTTCATAACTGATCACTTCATTTTTAATATACATATGTATACGTATTTAATACATACATACATTCTTGCCACTGCTAATCACATGAATATACACTTTTGATCAGCTAATTAAGCCAGCAACATTTTGATAAATTTTGGCTATTTTGCTTTCGTTTATTCAATGTTTATTATTTTTCCACAAAAGTCTAGCTCATTATATAACAAACACCATATAAATCCAGAATTCAAACTTTGTGCAAAAATTATGAAAAACCTGCAAAGTTTCAGCTAGATTTTCAACTTTTTATTAAGATTTTTTAGAATTTTTGCGAGTATGCTGTTTAAGTCTTAAGTTGCTAAAAAATCGCGTTGATTTTTAATAATTTTTTTTCAGACTGCATTACAAATTTTTTTCCATGCAAAATAAATTCGACAATTTTTTTTTATGAAACAAAATGCGTCTACCTAAAATTATTGTATCATGAACTTAGGACTTAGTTGTGCAAATAATTGCTCGTTTCTTCGGTTTTTTTGAAATAAATGTTTTAAAAATAATTTCCTATTCAAAAACTAGTTAGTAAAGTTCTTCATGTAGATTTAAAGCCGCTATGTTTTACTATATTGATATTTGCAAGAGCTTGTAGTCCCCTCGTTAGAGCATATACATACTATATTAAGTTTCTTTAATGCCGTCTTGGGCTTTAACCGAAAAACTGGAATAAGCGTGTAACAATGTAAACTAACAGCATAACACAAAGTAAAAGCAAAACAGTACCGGCATTCCAAATGAAATGAAATAAATTTTTTTCCTTTTATTTATAACAACACAATTTAAAGATTGCAACAAAGGACATAAATAAAAAATAATAAAAAATAAAATAAAAAAATCATGCGTCAGAGATTTGGATCTCAGGAACGCCGCCAGAAAAATGGCACACTTATGCCTTTCACGGGGTATGAATTGGCAGACCATCTCATCAACTGGTATGATGCTACTAGTATATCTGCTGGTAGGTGCTGATGCAGGAGCGGAAAATTTACATCGCGGATGACATCGCCATGTTAAAATAGCATTCGCTAACAATAAAAAAGGATACAACGGGAACTAGTTGGGCTGAAACGCAAACTGGTAGCATTCTAGTTCACAACTAATAGCTCTCCCTGTGGGCAAGTTGAACCCATAACGCCACAGGGCGGTAAAATTTTTTTAGGTCGGTGTGAAAAGAAAAGGCTCTTTGTTTGTGCCACTGTTCGGTGGTAGTCGCCCAGCCATTGCTGATTGCTAAATTTTACGAGAGAAGATTAAAAGCGCAAACAGTCAACGACGTAGCGTAGACGTAGGTTGACGCAGACACGATCTAGCTTATGGGATTCGCGTGTTAACGAAAACTCACCACCGCATGGCGGTGACGTGGCCGTTGTTTCTCTCTCTCTCTATCAACAGTCAATTTTATATGCTGCTACGTACGTCAACCTACGTTTACGCTACGTCGTTGACTAACTGAGCTTTTACGAACCTGCGAAATGCGAGAGGCGAATTCATATAATCGAAAAATATAACAATTACATGTATTTTGTTTTTGCTTTTAGTGGACTATTGCCAAATTTCAGGAAGCTAATACAAATCAGGGATGATAAATGAAATCAAGAATGCAAAATGACACTGCTGCTGGAAAAAATTTTACCTACGAAAACCTACAAGGAAATGTCTGCTGACCACAACATGTGTTCGTGAATAAACAAAAGAAAAGAAGAAAAGTTTAGTTTAGTTAATTTACTATTAATCTCTAATTTTCTAATTTTCGTGCGTCAACTATGGCTGCTGTATAAAATTATTCAATTGTGGATGAAACTATTTGTTGGCCGGAATTTACGCAAAATATTGAGAAATATACCAAAATAGATAATAATGCTGAAAGGTTCTGACCGAATTTGTCAGTTGATCGTTAAACCGAAAATGGGATAATTTTAAAGACACATTTGTAGCTATATCTACTTAAATTTTGTGAAAAAGAGAAGGGTGCTTGGAGGAGATTCTTTTATTTTTGAATGTCTCAGGATGTGGTATCAAAAATATTTGTTAGAAAAAAACTTACTTACCTATCAGAAAGTCAGAATGGCGTAAGTTTTACTGCGTTCAATAACTTTTTCTGATATTTTAGTCTTCCCCTTAATTTTACTCGCTATTATTCTTTTATTCTCTGGCTGCTAGTACTTACTGGAAAATTTTATGAATAGACCTATGACAGAAACTTTTTTTTATTTAATTAAGAGTTTCGTTTTTAATAAGCACCCCGTATTTACTTAAATAAGATAGAAAAAGATGACTATATTTTTACGCACAAAAATTCAAAACTCCAAGTAAATAGAGTGTAGTATTTCGACATAATTGTAGTGCAGTACTGTATCTTGACAAAAATGTATCAAAAATGTCAATGTAGTACCAATGTACTTTTGGCTTCCAAAATGTACCAGAAAAGTACAATTGTACCATCAATTTCATCACTGATACAAATACCTTCACTTTTTCACTAACTCTCTAGCGAAATTTTGAAAATTACGCATCATTCACAGCTGATGAAACAATACCACCTTATATGCATGTATGTATTCTCAATAAGCATAAAATAAACTTAAACGGCATTTAAACCTAAATTGCATTTAATTATTATTTCGTAAACCAAACGTATGAAAATGTTTGTATGCTTGCCATGACAGCCGAGGTGATAGCGCTTAAACATTCGTCTTAATTGTAATTAAATTCTAGTCATATGATCAAAATTTCATTAAGTTTCATAAAATATTAACTGAGAAATAGCAATAAAAAACTTTACACAACAGTTCCTTTGTTTATAACTTATAAAAATTATAAATTTAAAAAAAATTTATTGAGAATGTTAAATTTCATCAATAAATCCTCGAGGTTCGTATCTTAATTTTTATTTTTATACCCGAGCGCACTTGTGCACAGCGTATTATAACTTTGTTCACATAAGGGTTCCCTGTAGTCAAATGTACTAGATGTAAACTACCTCACAACTAGTATGAACCGCATGCCCAACTAGTCAGCCAACTATCTTTTTTCCATACAGTCAACTGGTATTTTTAACATGGGGATGTCCTACGAGATGGCAATTGTCAGATTTCGGTCAGAAATATACCAGTCTCATACTAGTTCAAAATAGGCAGAAAAATGCTAGTCCAATTATGGACCAAAACCACTACCATGGGAGTCAAAAAATGAAATGAATTCATGAATATACAATAAAAAACTTTTGATTAAGCGCACTTTAATACATTACACATTTTTATTTAGCAGCATTAGATTTGCCAATAATTAGTGTTAAATTTGTTGAGTATTAATTAAAAGCAAAAATAAATACTTAAATATTCCAAACTTTCGAACATAAATTTAAATACATTTTTCATTAAATGTTATTAAAAGTAAAAGGTTTCAGGTACAATAAATACTATATTTTTATCTTTTTTAATAATATTGAATACGCAAGAGAAAACATTTTAGTTAAAAAAAATGAATACTTTAGTTTAGTTTGAGTGAACTAAAAGAGAAATA